AAGGTACAATACGCTACATAGCCCCATATAACTCTAAATTCATTGTGGTTGATAATGGTGTTGTACTATCTGTTAGCTCTATAGGTCAATCTTTTTTCCTTTTCCAGATAACCGTTTTTCTCTAAAAATGCTCTAGTTTCTGATAAAATGGTTAAAAATCTTATCTTTATTCGTTGATTTACCATCAATAGTTTTCTTTCTGATCTGTTTGGTTTTATTGTGAAGGATCATAGAAAAGGTACTCCGCTGCAACAACCATTCTAATCTCTACCATGTACTTCCATCCTCTACTCGGTTGGACTTTTCTATTGTTCTTGCTACTGTTTCTCATGTCACTTGGCTCCGAAGACTTGGTTATCGAGGCAACTTTATCTTTCATCTCCTTTATTTACACAATTTATTTCTTGTTGTAGTCAATATACATATTTGTGCCATGCTTGTCAACTAAAAAAACATTATTGTTTTCTTTTATCTTTATCTCGTACCTGGGGGTGACAATTACTGACACGCCACGACAAAAATACACGACACGAAACAAAATTAGGATGGAACTGAGATTCGAATTCGTGTTTGTGTCAAGTGTAAACAACAAGATCAGTGTTGTAAAACTCGTCGAGTTGGCCGATTACTCCTCCGAGTACTCGCTACTCGGCCCCTTACCGATGCGAGTTACAAAATCCCGAGTACTCCCGATCGACCATTTTACTGAACTGAGTAGTGTTGTGAAACACAGTCAAATCGGTGATTAATATATTAATATACTTAATGATTTAATATTTAACACACACATGTGATTATTACTAAATATATATTTTAAATTTTCAGTAATTATTCACGAAGTGAGACCATTATGTGTTTTTTTAGCTTTTGTGTATTCACAGATATTTAATTTTGTTATATATTTCAATCAACTTATGATTTTAACTTATAATTTTGACATATATAATTTCCTTAAAAATATTTTACATGAATTACCGAATCCGAGTACTCCTCGAGTACTCCAGGATATTCGCTACTCGGTAGTCAGTCGAACAGGTACCAAATAATGGGTTCTGTAACCTTGAACACAATGTCGTGTCGTGTTCAAAATTTTACACGAAACTGACATGATTAAGTATTTTTTTTCATGTTCGTCGTGTTATGTATGATTAAATATTAATTAAATAAACTAATTTTTATATTATGTTATCTTTTTCGTATTGTGTCGTATTTTTCATTTTTTTAATCAATTCGTTTTCGTATTAGTTAGAAAAGCACGACATCATATCGTGTTCGTGTTAAATAAAACTTTGTCATGTTGTTTCGTGTTAGACAAAAATACGACACAATGACCCAATTTGCCACCCTTACTCGTACCAAAACTAGACGTGTGTTTGAATTAATTCACTATGACTTCAACATAGTGTTCGAATTATATATGGTATATTTTTATGTAAATTTTAGGGATTTTGTTTCCCTGAACTTTGACCACTTAACCTAATTCCAAATCTTTGTGTGATTTATGTTGCCATCTCTACAAATGGTCCAAAACATAGTAACTTTGAGCAGTTAACTTGTAAAATTCGTATAAAATCAACAAAATATCTTTAGAGATTGTACTTTATATGCTTGAAAAGGTAAAAGAATGAACTCAAAGAATATTTAATGATATCACGTGGGTCTAATGAAGGTAAATCAATCCACAAATAGACTACTATAACGATGATTAAGTCAAGGTACAATATAAAATAAGTATTATCAAGTAAAGCTTTGAAATACGATCTACGTAGGGGTTATTGGTATGGTATGTAGGTGCTCTTGAGAGGTGGAAGTTCCTCTAGATCATGCTAGTAGTGTTTCTCAATATACTTTTGTTTCAGGTGAGTTTCACTAACTCATTTATTATATTGATTACGTTTAGGGGTTGAAATTTATTGCCCATGAATGACCCTTCAGGGGTAATATTTGAGCCAGCTGACCATGATAGACCCTTCGGAGGAAGTGACGAAGGTTTGGAAGATCAATGATAGAGTCTTCGGAGGAATCAACCTACTAGTACAGAGTCGGTACCAACAATATGTGTTTAAGTGATATGTGATATGTGTTATGTGTTCCATGCTAAGTGTTTAGTGTGTGCTTGTGATTAGTATAATGGATGAGTGTTATGTATGCTCACTAAAGTGTTGTTGTTGTTATTTTGCAAAATCACTTTCTGATCTATTATATCTATGCCGCGCAAATAGCATGCAGACGTTTGGTCCCACAGATTGTTTTTTAGAAGACCACAGACTTAAAAATGTTCATGCGTCATCTTCTGGCGCAAATATGGACATATGTCTTTTAACTTCTACTTACCTCTTCCAATATATATATATATATATATATATATATATATATATATATATATATATATATATATATATATATATAAGACACAAAAGAGCACAAAGCTCAAGAATCCATGAAAAGGGGATTAAGGTTTAAGACTTCTAAGTTTTCTAGAGGATGGAGGTTGATAAAAGAGAAATTCATAGGAATTAGTGTCTTTAAATAATATTCAAAACTCGAAAGTAGGGTTTTGAGTTGATGACGGCCACATGTCGCGACGCACCTAAGGTCGCATCGCGACTTAATGCGCTGGCACGCGCTGTGACCAACACATGGTTGCATCGTGAAGTCACCAAAAACTTTCTTATTTCATAAAATAATAATTGGCATACCCGTTACAATGTCCATAATAGTTATTTCAAGGGTTAAGTATCATCAGTTTTTTCAATCAAATTCCACAGTTTAATCATTAATATTGTATCAACTTCCCAATTGTTATATTTCTATAAATTATTATAAAATTATAATAAAAATAAAATGATTTTTTGAAATTCCAAAATCGTTAATTCGGATTTCAGACTTGTTTTTGAATATTCGAAATCTAAAATTATCCGACTCCAAAATATGAGTTTGAAATGCTTGTGTAGAAAAATATTTCTAATATGGTATAAAGTTAATTAAAAAAGAATCAATTCCTAAAAAATATCATTTTCCTAAAAATCCAAAGTACAAAACTTTTTATTTTATTAGTTTTCTATGCTACTTATTGTAAGCAAAATCAAATATATTTTTATCTTTTGTGTTTATCAATTTTCTATTCAGTAGATTAAAACAAATATCAAAATCAAAAAGATGATTAAAAGAGAACTAATAGATTCCATGTGTCATTTCAAAAAAAAAAAATTCTTCTATTTTCTTTCTTACCCACATTTCTCAATTTAAAATTATAACAAATATTTTAAAATATTATTATGAAAATAAAACTAAACACTTTTTCTAATTTTAAATAACTAAAATAATATATGATTTTTTAATTTATATGAATTAAAAATAAATAAAAACAAAAGATAAATATATCTTTCTATTCAAAAGATCAAAACAAGTATCAAAATAGACGATTAAAAGATAACTAATAGATTCCGCGTGTCATTTCAAAAAAAAATTCTTCTATTTTTTTTCCTTCCCACATTTCTCAATTTAAAATTATAACAAATATTTGTAAAATATTATTACGAAAATAAAACTAAACACTTTTCATAGTTTTAAATAACTAAAATAATATATATATATATATATATATATATATATATATATATATATATATATATAATTATTTCTTTAATTTATTGTATGCTAGAATGCATCAATAGAAATTTTGTATAATTAAATAATTATTTAATTACATAAAGATAAATATTAAATGATTTCCATAATTATATGTATATTAAATGATATCCATAATTATAATTTTTCTTTTTATAGAAACTAATTAAATTAATCGTTAATGTCAATAATAACATTATTTTAGAATGAAGTTGTATCTAGGTTTTTATGTTAACAATAACGTTATTTCAGGAGTGGTTCACACTTAAAATACAATAAAGTTGTATTGGATATGAATAATGAGAGTGTATTCTAGTAGAATATACTCTCGTTCTACTAGAATACGCTTTTATTTTTTATAGATACGAATTTATTCTAAAAAAAATATTATTATTGATATTAATGACGAATTAAGTAGTTTTCATAAAAAAGAAAATATAAGTATAGATATTTAATATACATCTAATATTAATACTTAATTCCATAAAGTTTTTTTAACTAACACCTAATTTCATCTATCTCCACGATAATAATTAAACCTTCGATCTAAAAAAAAACAAAAAAAAAAAAACGACACCACCTAATCCTGTTAGACTAGAAGCACTTTAGTACTCAAATATCTTATTAAATTTGACCTCATACTCATGGCACTTGACGGGTTATAAAAATTAATAAAATGTAAAAGATAAATAGTGAGTACACAAGATTCGCGAGTTTGCAAAACAGTCGGTGGCAGTGGCAGACAACCAAAACAAGATGGTCCGATGGAAATAAGCCGTATGGCGTCAATCCTGTGCATCAGTGCATGGACGCCAAGTGTCCCAAATCGATTGCCACCTTATCTACCAAAGTCACTAAAGAAATTTTCTAATCTCTATCTACTCAAAACCTAAAGTTGTAGATATATTTTTATTTCGTTGCAATGATATTGCAATAAATTGCCGTTACATTCTTAAAGAATAGGGTAAAGTTTAGATTTACCTTCTATACATATTAAAATTTGCTAAGATGTCTTTTTAAGTCGGAATAACATCAACTCTTCTATGCGAAATAACATAAATTTTCATGAACTAAATCTTATAGTTAACAATGTAATATTCTCAATAAAACACACATAACCTAACCACTTTACTCGTGTCCAATTGGAGACTTCTCGAATCCGCACTTCACTTTATTTCTACCTTTCCTTCGCAAATTATAGCATTTGATTCCTCTTTATAATAATCAAATATTCCAAATACATAAAGTTCGATTTTCACTACAATTCCAACCACGACCACATATATATATCAACACACACCACCCACACCCTACAACACATACAAACTACACCAAAACACACACACACAAACACATATAGATAGAGAAAGATGGGTTGGTTCTTCAGAGACCGGAGATCGGGGCTAAGCTGGACCGATCAAACCATAGGCTCGATATCCGCACCACCCATGCACCTGGTAGCCTTATTCGCTCTAGTCATACTCTTGATGTCCATGTCTTCTTATACCGAATTCAAGGTTCATATGGAAAGGGAGAAGATGGGTCTAAAGTTGCTCTTTTACTTGTTGCCCCTCGCGTTGTTGCTCGTTGCTGATGTTATGATGAGGTATAGGTTGGGGTATATGGTTCGAGCTGCAAGTTTGCCAGTCGAGTCTGTGAAACAAGACGGATGTCCGCCGTGGGGGGTGGCGTTTGTGGTAATATTGGTATTGGTTTTGGTGAAGTATCACTCCTCGGTTCAATCGGGTTGGTTTTGAAACTTCTGGTTGGACGATGATTGGGTATTTTTGACACGAATTGTTCATTTGAAATCTTTGGAACTTTAGATGATGGATTTTGGTTATGTTCGAGTCTTTGAGATGTTTATCAGCCGAGTTCAATAAGTTTTTTTTTTTTCTTGTTAGGTTAATTTTGTAACATTTGTATTTTCTGTTTTTATATATAAAGTGAAGAGTAGATAGTAAACGGTACTCTTATAATTTCTTATAATTTCACGTCTATAATAATCATATGAGTTATTTGCTGAAATGAACTCTATATCAAACCCATCTTTGAAATACCATTTTTTTTTAATTATCAAAAAAGAATCACAAAGTGCTCGATTTTTTTAGTTATTCGTTAAAATGAAAATATCAAGTCCATCTTTGAGGTACCATTTTTTAATTATTAAAAAAATAATCAAAGTCTATCTTTCAGATACCATTTTCTTAATAATAAAAAAATAATCCAGAATTTTGAAGAGTCTAATTTAATTATGGTAAGTAGGTGTTTAAATTAATTTTGGTGTTTTTTATTTTTCACTGGGTTATAACCCATGGAAACCATGGTTTGTATTGTTAGACGGTATTTATATTTATTTATAAAGTCTTCGTATTTGTAGGTGTTTTATACGGCCCAATGTATAGCAGCCCTTGTTAGTATTCCCACTATAGTGTCGCTAGTTCAAGGCCGAAGGAGATCGCCGCAAGGGGTAAAAATGTGAAGGTTCTGAGTCAACTAATTTTTTTATTGTATCGGTAAGAACAATGTCAGACCATTAAATGTGCAAATCAAACAAACCAACCTGACCGAATCAAAGAAAAAAGCTATAACTAGATCAGCTCGATTGAAATCAAACAACCTTTAAAACTAGTTGTTGTTTCATTGGAAATTTTCTTGGAACCATTTGGGTTAGTTTGTTGAGTCTTTTGACTCTTCACACAAGATCTATGCCATCCTTGACATACTCATTGTGCACAATATTTTCACCTGTATCTTTGATAAAAAGTTTTATTTTTATTTTAAAGTTCTTTAAGTCCTAAAACCAAATGTCACATAATCTAATATTGACATGGATGTGACACCAAATATTAAACAAAATAATACTCCATCTTTTCCAAATCTACTCTAATAAATGAAAATATTTTTGCCACATGGAACACTTTCATTGATTTTACCACTTGTCATTTTGAGGTTATTTTCAATTAAAATTCTTTCACATAGCATTTTGTGGTTATTTTCATTTTTATTAATTTTCATATAGTAATTGATTAAATGTATTAATTGCAATAAATGTATCAATAAATATATATCAATTTCATTAATTGATTTTCCTTCTAATTTCAAATTTTCAAAATTAAAACCTCATTTTTTTCCTTTGTTAATTTATCTAAATTATATGTTTAAATTTAAAGGAGAAAAACACTTTAATTTTAATAATTCATATTTTACTATTTTTTTTTTATAAATTTAAACTTCTTAAATATTTAGAATTTTATATTTTTTTTTAAATGAATCCATATAATACATGGATCTTACAACCTAGTGAACAATATAATGTTTATTTGAACCATCATAAAAATAAAGTTATTCATATTCTATTTGGAATTTAGTTATTTATTTTATTAATAGTCACTAGAAGATAGTGGTAATAAAAAAAATCCAGAAGCTTTCTCTATTTTGGATATTCAATTGGAGTCGAGACGTTTTGTACTTACGTGCAACAATATAATATTTAAGTTTACATATAACCCAATATAAACGTTTAATTGTTTACCCCAAAATATTGGTTGGCGTGAAAAGTGTGAATACAAAGTATCGTGTCTCATACTGTTTGTAAAATAATTACTAAAACAAAGGAAACAATATATGAGCCTCTAAAGATATATTGTACCATTTTAAGAGAATAAGGTTATTGAGTTTTATATCTAAAGTAAATTTTACGAACTTATATATTGTACGGCAATCTTTATGTTTGGTACTTTATAATTTTTTTATAATTCGGACCATCGATATAATTTATTTTTGTTGTGCGTTTATTCACCGCCTAAAAAAACCCATTTTACCCTTAATATATATATATATAATTTTTTTATCAGTATATATATTATTTTATGTTAAAAAAAAAGTAAAACAAATTAATTCACCCACCTATCGGCCCACCCTAAACTAACGTTTTCTATTAAATCTCTCAATGCCTTTTCCCTGTAACCTAAATTACCTAAAACTCTAACTAAAGAAGTTATATCCCTCCTACATCGACGACCTTACCCTCGTCAACGACCCACTCTCTTAGATGACCTTATCTTTCATCGGCGACCCTTGTCCCCCTCCTCTCCATCTTCGAGAACTCCATAGAACTCTGAACAATCAGCTTACCGACGAGAATCTCATTGATAACGGGTGATGGTACATGCGTTCGCCAGAGCATCACAATGGGGAGTCGACCAGAACAAACACCAGATATACCAAAAAACGGTTCTTATGTGATCCATTTTACTTATTGCAGGTTTGAGCCTCATTTAAGCATCACGATAGGGAGCCGACGGGAGTGAAGAATGTCCTATTTCAGAATCCAAAACTTGTAGATATATAGATTGATTCCTTGTAGATAAATAGATTGATTTTAGTTCTCTTAAGTATGATCGGGTTTTGTGATTTTGGTTTTCATTTTCAAAAATCGATCAATTTTATTATTATTATTATTATTATTATTATTATTTTCAAAAGTCGATCGATTTTGCTCTTTATTTGGGTTTTAGGTTTTGTTTTGCATTTGTATATCAGATTATGGTTTTGCAATTGGTCTGTTTCTACATTTTTGCATTACAGGATCATTCCTACAAGGGTTGTGAAAGGTTGGGTGGTGGTTGTAGAAAAGTCAAGAGAAGGTGGTGAGTTTTGTGTTGGTTCGTTGAAATTGAAGTTAAAGATGAAAAGGGGTTAGAAGTTGAGGGTGAGGCTGTGAGCAAGAGATGGCAATTAGTGGGACCAATTCATATAATTTTGTCTTCAATAACAAATAAACAATAAAATAAATTAAAAAAAAAATAACATGAGGACAATATAGTCTTTTTATGTTTGTGAGGGACCAAACACATAAAAGGCAAATTATGACGATGGTTCGAGTTAAAAAAATTTTGTAAGAAACCAAACACTTATCCTATTAGATATTACCCTAAACCACATTGTAACATCCGGATTTCCAGGTATCATATTTTAATTGTTTATTTTGAGTTATGAGGAGGGACTCGACAAGTTGACGCTTAGACTCATCGAGTAGGATCGCGATTTGCTGACTGGATTAATGAACGGACTCGACGAGTCGATGGGTGGACTCAACGAGTCCGCGCTGAGGTTAGAAATCCTAAATATACGGGCCTGAGCTCTATTTAAGGGACCTTATAGCCCTCATTTGCGGCTACCAGTCCAGAGAGAGAAATCCTAGAGAGCTTGAGCGAGTTGTGTGTGTGAGAGAGAGAGAGAGAGAGAGCTATTTTGATCCTTTTTGTTGTGGCTTTGCAAAGAAGAAGGTGTTTCCAGCAAGAGAAGGTCAAGGGGATTGCGATTCTGTGGTTTTCAAGCTTGGATCTTCATTGTTGAGGTAGTAAATCGATCCCTTCTTCTGTTTTGTACAAGATTCTTGAAGTTAGGCTTTTCTCTACCCTTTTATTTGTTTGAATTGATGCATATGTTGTCCCTTTGAGTGTTAGATTATGGATCTAGACCTTTAGAGGTCAAGAGAGTATTATCTATCCCGCTTTATGTTGTTCCATGGAGGAAATGAACCTAGGATGCCATTTTAGAAGCCATTTCACCAAAAGAAGCCTTGAGTGCGTTGCATGAGTGTCAAGATTTGACCTTTACGTGATTATTGGACATGGGGAAGTCAGATCCATAGGTTAGAGAAGCAGATCTAACCTTAGAAGGTCGTTTGGGTGATTGTCATGGAAGAAACTCACCGAGTCCATAAGGGGACTCGACGAGTCGAGTCGTGTTGCCTCGCGACTCTTGACTAGTAGTAGCCCATCGAGTGGAAGGTTCACTCGACGAGTCGAGTGAGGTTTAGAAAGATCCAGAGGACACGCTTGGACTCGCCCCGAGTCACCTATGTGCACTCGACGAGTCTGGTCAAAGTTTGGCTGTTGACTTTCGTTGACTTTTAGGGTTGGGTCAACACTTGGACTTTTGGACCATTAGAAGGGTAAAATGGTCTTTTAGCCTTCTGAGAGAACATTGGAACAGACTAGTCTAGACTGGAGAGTCGTTATTGATTTGAGATGATTGCTATGTGTTTAGGCGGGGCTAGGTCATTGTTACGAGGTTCAGGGATACCGAGCACGTGAGTTACTAGACAGTATATAAGGTGAGTCTTCTCATTATACTTTACCTACAGTGGTAACTATGTGTGACCGGAAGGTCTTATATGTTATGCGAACTATGTGATATATGTTGCTATCTGATATGTATGTGTCATGCTATGTTATGAGTACCATGATATGGACCGGAAGGTCATCAGTGTATGGACTGGAAGGTCATACAGGTAGGGCCGGAAGGTCTACCAGAGTTGGGACGGAAGTCCCCTGAGACACATGGATTGGAAGATCCCATAGAGTTATGGCCTTGAGTGGCGTATGTGTTGTATGTGGTATTTTGGGGAACTCACTAAGCATTTATGCTTACAGTGTTATGTGTTTCAGGTACTAGCGATGATCGCGGGAAGGCGCTGACATGATCCGTACACACTGACAGAAGATTTATTTTATGATTTTGGGATATGTTTTTATCATGATGACATTTGTTAAACTTGAAATTTGAAAATATTAAATGAGTTTTATTCTTATTTGAAAAATGAAAAATTGTTTTGAAAATTTATGTTGTTACACACATGGACCATTCATGTAATTTACCCTTATATCTGAGTTGAAAGTTATAATTTAATAAACAAAGAAGACAACATCTTATACAAAAATGGAAAAGGATACACAACCATTTAGATTTTACATGATTATATATAATATAAAATTTTAAAGGATAAACTACTATATATAGAGAAAAATATTATACACAAATCAGTTTCAATACAAAGTAAACTAAATAAAAATGATCGAACCGTTTAAAACCCGTAAAACGTACTAATATCTCTACAATCTTTTAAATTATTGTTTAATACTACTATGTTATTTATTATAAAATATAACGCTTGATCTCATCTAAACATTTCTCATATTTTTTTTATTTATTTTGACCCAATACGTCTGTTCCCATTTCGTAATTTTTGTGGATATACAAGTGAATAAAAGATTTACCAAATTTATGGAAAAAAGTTAACTTTCTTTTTTATCATCCTTTTTCCTTTTTTGTGATAAAATAGAAAGAATCTGCCAAATCCGTACCGGATACTCCAGATTACAACCGGACAAGTTGACCGTAGATTTCTCCAAAAAATTTCGTCGGATCTTCCAAGATAATTCCACGTGTCGGTAAACTTTATCTGTATTACTCTAACTTATCCGGTTTGTCCGGTTGCTTGGGTTCGTTAAAACTTCACACACATTTTAAGCTTAAACAAACAGTCATCCATTAATCGCCAAAAGGACCTTGTACTTTAACTGGTTTTGCAAAACTTGCCCTCTTATGTCTTATTTGATTGAATAATCCTTTTTATTTTAACGGCAAAAACCAAAGCACTACTCATATGCTCATGTGATAAGTCTTTGACTAGTATAGTTAAAGAGTTATATGTAAAATAACAACTTGACCAGTTAAAAGATTATATATATACTTTTGGCTAAAAGTAGACAATCTTGGATACATTTATAGTATAATGCCATATCCATTATCAAGAATTTGTTCTAATTTTGGAAGGAATAATATTTGTTTTCTAACTAATGAACTTTGTTTGTTTTTTAAATATCAATAATACCATACTATTGTTTATTGTTCGAATATTATCCCTACTAGCGATTGTCTCTAATCAATGAAGTGCTCTTTGATTTTAAAAATGAATTTAACGATCGTGCAATTACTTATATGAAATCTTTAAAAATTAATTTTGATAAAAACTATTATCAAGAAACCAAATTATATTGCTGTTGCATATTTTGTTGAGGAAATCCGTTTACAACGTTTATAAAAAGTTAAATAAGATAATTAGATAAAATGCTAACCATCTTTCTTTTTATATAATTTGTTGATTAAAGTTTATCAATTTTATTTACAATAGTAAAATATGACAACAAAAGTCATAAATGTCGATGAACCTTTTTTAAAGTCTAAACATAGTCATGATAGTATCCAAAATACTATATACAAATTTGGATATCCGTTAACCCAAATGAAAAAGGAAACTAACGGAGGACTGAATTTGCAAAAATTGCTAAAGTATAAGGTCTATTTTTGAAACTCCACCGTTTTGTCACCTATATATGTAGGCCTGTTCAGTAGGGGGTCACCTTCTTTCATTTTGAATAAAGTATACTCTTTTGATCCCTCTTTGTTTAAGTTTGATGATGCCTTCAACGCCTCTTTTCTAGGTTTCATCGATTTCCTCATCTACCAAGTTCCCCAGGTTTGATTCTTCTTTCTCTCTTCCCCATTCCAATGATTTACGATATGAATTAGCATCAATCTTTGCTTTTCTTCCAGTTCATGATTCGATTTTTAGGGTTTTTGACATTAGACACGTTAGTTAATTCACGATATTACTTCTGGATTTTGCTAGGTCCTTAACTATGAAAACAACTAAGAACATAACTCGTATTTCGATACGGTCGATTTCTTCTTATTCTTTGATTCATTCGAAAAATGTGGAATTTAAGATGAACATGTAATGATCTGATTGAAGTTTGTTTACCTTCGGTTGAAAACGTTTGACCAGATCTGAATTCAAAAAAATTCTCGTTTGACTTTATTGACCAGATCAGAATTTCGAAGTTTCTTCAAAAATTAATCAAACAATGGCTCCGACAACGATAGAAGGGACGTCAAACGGGTCTGTAAAAGCAAAAGAGGAAGAACAAACGACACCTTCTTTATTCGAAATCGATGACTCCGATCTAACGAGGCTTCTGGAAAAACCGCGACCAGTAAACATCGAGAGAAAAAGATCGTTCGATGAAAGATCATTTAGTGAAATGTCGATTACGATGTCGCCACCACGTAATAATTTCTACAAAATGAGCGAAAATTCATCACGGGGGTTTGATAATCTCGACGGCGTTTATTCTCCGGGGAGATGGACTGGAACTCCTCGAAGTGGATATTTTGAGCCTCATCCGATTGTTGGAGATGCTTGGGAGGCTTTGAGAAGATCATTGGTCAACTTTCGTGGTCAACCTGTTGGGACTATTGCTGCTCTTGATAATTCTTCAGAGGACCTTAATTATGATCAGGTGAATTTCAATTCCTTTTTTCTTATGAAGTTGATTTTGATCAACGGATTGTGATTTGTTCAAGTTGACTTTTGATTTATGATGTTTAGAGATTTGAATCTTCATATCAATCGAGTCCTTCATGATCCTTGGTTATAAAATTTGTATTAAATGCAAGAAATTGCTACGTATTCCCATTTATTTTTGTATATAGCTACCCAATTTCTATATATATTTATATGAAATTTTTGTAAATGCAAGAAATGTCGATGTAATTTTATTAAAATACAAAAAAAGCAATTATCCTTTTATTTATTTGTGTTTTATAGCATCATACTTACATTTATTTCTATTAAACCATTCTATTTTTTCATTACTTTTTCTTATTAAACCACTGAACTTTGAAAATAATTCTTCTTCCTATTACACTATTATAAAAAGCAATATTCACTACTATAGTGCTATTATTATACTTTATTTCTATTACAAATTGTACCCTTCAGTTCTTTTTATTAAAGCATTGTACTTTCAATCTTTTTTTATTAATAAATTATACTTACAAAATCTACCCGATTATAACAATAATAATTTCTTTGCCTTTGGATGGAAGATGTGAACAAAATGGTATAATAAACAAATTAAAGAAAGTGCATTGCTATTTCTTTCATTTAACCCTAGATTCTACCCTCTATTAAAATTTATTAAAGCATTATACTTTCTATATTTTTATATTAATACGTTATACTTCAAAAAAATCTATCCGATTATAACAATATTAATCTCATAAAAGATTTTATGTTTTGTGTGTGTGTGTGTTTTTTTTTTTCGATTAAACCTCAACTTTATTTTTTCCTAAAAAAGACTTTACATTTTTTCATTTTTTTTTCAATCTGGCTCTTTTAGTCATTTTTTTCCGAAAAAACTTGTAAAATGTGAGGGTTTTTTTTCTGGAAAAAAGAAAAAAAAAAGTGAGGGTTTGTTCGGAAATAGTTTGAAAGTGGAGTGTTTTTTCGGAAAAAATATCCAAAGTTAAGGGTTTTTTTCGAAAAAAACTAAAAACACAAGGTTTTTTCCCGAAAAAAAAAAGTTGAGGTTTAATCCCGAGAAAAAAAAAAACACAATATATAAAATCTTTTACAAGATTAACCCTAAATTCTTTGTCTTCAGATTTTATTTATTTACTTATTTTTTCCTTCGAAAATATAACATTGTAACGGGACGAAAAAAATGCGCTATAATAAACAAATTAAAGAAAATACTTCTTTAATTTCTTTCATTCAAAACTAAATTCAACTTTTGACATTTATTCCTCCTTTTATAGGTCTTTGTAAGAGACTTTGTGCCAAGTGCATTAGCCTTTTTAATGAACGGAGAACCCGAAATCGTAAAAAACTTCCTCCTAAAAACCGTTTTCCTCCAATCACGCGAAAAAAAGGTCGACAATTTCAAATTAGGCGAAGGGGTAATGCCCGCAAGTTTTAAAGTGCTTCATGACCCCGTGAGGAACACGGAGACAATTTTAGCCGATTACGGTGAAAGCGCGATCGGGCGTGTGGCCCCGGTTGACTCAGGGTTTTGGTGGATTATACTGCTTCGTGCGTATACGAAATCCACGGGTGACTCGTCTTTAGCCGAAATGCCTGAAATCCAAAGGGGGATTAGACTTATTATGACTTTGTGTCTTTCCGAAGGGTTTGATACGTTTCCTACTTTGCTATGTGCGGATGGATGTTGTATGATTGATCGAAGAATGGTTAGTATTTGATATATCTCTACTTTTATCAAGAAATAGTAACCTACTTTGGTTTAGTTGTTTGGGAAATCTCTGATAAAGTCCTAATATTTTAGACCAGTTTATGGTTAAATCCAAATTTTTTACTTTTTGAACAGAAAAGTTGCGATTATCTAATTTTGTGCGATAATCTGTTATTTTTTGTTAACGAAAAATTGACTGTTTTGTTTATTTGGGCAAAATATAAAATCATTGAGGCTTTACTGTTCAAAAATTAAAAGTTGGGATTAAACCGTAAACTGATCCAAAATAGTTTTTTTTTTTTTTTAATAGGATTTGTATGTTTTATTTTATTATTATTTTTATTGTAGTATTGTACTTTTAATTTTTTGTTTTTCTTGTTTAAGACATTATGCTTTGAAAAATACACCCAATATCTAGGAGTAAAAAATAGTTTTGTAGAATTCTATAATTAACAAATCGTTACATTTAACCCTTTGGCAACATCATCCGAATTCAAAGCAATTTTGAGTTATTGTCTTGATTTTTCAAAGTATGATTTTCTAATAGGAAGAAATAAAAAGAATATATGCTATTATAAACAAATTAGTTTAAGTGCGATGCCTATTTCTTGTATGTGGTTTCATCCTTTTGTTTTGTATGCTCCTTCCATTCGATTGAAACCCCTTTTCACTTCACATGCAAATGACCAAAATACCCTTCAACGAAAGACAATTTAGTAGAATCTTGTACATCCCTATCTAATGTTAAAGGGTAAATACGTAATTTTACCATCCCCGCATGTTTATTCAAAATTACAACTTTCCTGTTTTTGCTCTCTTCTGTGTTTCCACTCACATGCAAATGACAAAAATACCCTTACAATTAGGTAGAATCTTGTATATCTTTGTCCAACATTGAAGGGCAAATACGTAATTTTACAGTCTCTGCTCGTTTCCTCAAAATTACAACTTTCATGCTTTTGCTCTGTATGATCCTTCCTTCTGTGTTCACATGTAAATGACAAAATACCCTTTTAGCGATAGACATTTTTCAGATCTTCATCTAACGTTGATGGGCAAATCCGTAATTTCAACAATCTTTGCTGATTTGTAGGGTGTATACGGGTACCCAATCGAGATCCAAGCACTATTCTTCATGGCGCTAAGATGCGCCCTACTTCTCCTAAAACGCGATTGCGAAGGCAACGACTGCATTGACCGAATAGTCAAACGCCTCCACGCGCTCTCCTTCCACATGCGAAGTTACTTTTGGCTCGACATCAAACAACTCAACGACATCTATCGTTACAAAACCGAAGAGTATTCTCACACCGCAGTCAACAAATTCAACGTAATCCCCGATTCGCTTCCCGAATGGGTCTTCGATTTCATGCCGACACGTGGAGGTTACTTTATTGGGAACGTAAGTCCGGCGAAAATGGATTTCCGGTGGTTTTGTTTGGGGAATTGTGTGGCGATTTTGTCGTCGTTAGCGACGCCTGAACAGAGTTCGGCGATTATGGATTTGATTGAGTCGAGGTGGGGGGAACTCGTCGGAGAAATGCCGTTGAAGATTTGTTATCCGGCGATGGAGAGTCATGAGTGGAGGATTGTTACCGGGTGTGATCCGAAGAATACGAGTTGGAGTTATCATAATGGTGGATCATGGCCAGGTTTGTTCCTTTTTTTTTTTTTTTTTTTTTTTATTGGTTAAATACGTATTTTTATCCAATAAATGTTTTTGTCTTTTGTAGATTTATGGAAAAAAGTTTTTTTTTAATGAGATATGCAAAATGTTTCACATTTTTACCAAGCAACAATGTCGTACCTTTTTATCAATTCAAATAAGTTACTACGTTAGTAGGGCATTTTGGTAAAATATTTACATCTTTTGGTCCTAAATTGGATAGCGTCTTTGTGTATTTTGTATAAAAAATCATCTTATCGCATAAATTAGGTAAAATATGAAATGTTTCATAAATATGAATTAGGTATATGTTTTGTATTCACACCATATTTTGAGATCGATAACTTTTGTGACATGTGTTGTTGCCTAACTAGATTTACTAATGCTTCACCTTTTTACCAAAGGGTTAATGTCATACAAGGATAAACAACTTGTTTCTCATTAAATTAATCGAGTAATTTTACAATATTGGATGCCATGTAGGATTCCATGGCATTTTTTTTTTTTACCAATTATGTAACTCGCGAGAATCATGGAAACATATTTTAACATGTTAAAAAATTGCATCTTTTGGTACTAAATCAAGACATCATTATATATCTTGTATCAAAAATCACTTTGTTACAAAAATAGAGAAAAATGGGAAAAGTTGTTTGCATAAAAATTTGGTGCCAAAATTAAAACTTCATTTATCTGCACAACACTTGTTGAAAAAAAAAAGGTTCACATTTTTACCAATTTATGCGACAATGTTTGTATTTTTTATGTCATTTTACATATTTCAGCCAGCGCATCAGCTAGTTTACCAAATTTTTTTTTTTTTTTTTCAGTTAACTTTTCAGCTAGTAGGCCAAATATACTGTTATACTGACAGTATCGATTTCATGTGTATTTTGCAGTTCTAATATGGCTTTTAACGGCCGCGTGCATAAAAGCAGGGCGGCCCCAAATAGCAAAACGCGCAATCGAATTAGCCGAAAGCCGGTTACTAATGGACCAGTGGCCGGAATATTACGATGGAAAACTCGGCCGATTTATCGGAAAACAAGCGCGTAAAAACCAAACATGGTCAATAGCCGGATATTTGGTTGCAAAAATGATGCTTGAAGATCCATCTCATTTAGGTATGATATCACTTGAAGAAGACAAACAAATGAAGCCTCAGATGAAAAGATCTGCTTCATGGGTTTGTTAAATTGAAGAACACAACTTCAACTTCAATATATTATCATCATCATTATTATTATTGTGTTTTTTTCACTCCACGTTTTCGGGTTTTGTTTCTAACACTTGGTGTATTATACGCATGCCCATTGACAAGTCGGGATTTGTTTATGGTTTTGAACAATGTGAATTGATGAAATTTTGCAAGCGGTTTAATAATGTTCGGTTTGAATTTGTGGTTTTTGTTACTTTTGTTTTTTTGTTATATGGGTGAGGAGTTGCGAACGTAATGACTTTCGAGGTGAATTATGTAAGAAGTATTGCTAGAGTGTTTGAATATATTCTACGACATGCTAACATTTGGTTTTGTCAAATTCTTTCAATAAATTCTTATTTATGCCTCGTATTATTATTTTTAGAAAATACGTTATCGGAGTCGTGTTCATATTGGAACTAGTATTCATGTTCAAATAATTAAGGTAATAGTTGAAATTGGTTTTTAAATTATTGTAAGAATGTATTTATTTAGTTATTATTAGCCTTTTTAAAGATTTCGAAGGTCCCATATATCTTGTATTTTGTGTTATACACTTATACTATGATATGCAGATTATTCTTTTGGCGTCGTCAATCCTTTATTTATTTTTGATTAACTGAAAATTGAAAATTAATATTTTGGTATAAACAGTCAAGAAAACTTACTTTGATTTTGTTGTGGTTTTGGCTAACTGAAAATTGAAAATTAATACTTTGGTATAAACAGTTGAAAACTTACTTTTTGTTGTGGTTTTGGCTAATTGAAAATTAAAAATTAATACTTTGATATAAACTGTCGAAAACTTACTTTGATTTTGTTGTGGTTTTTGCTAGATGGATTTAGTATTTTCTATTTATTTTTTCTTTTTTTTTTTGTTATTTAATTATTTCCTAACTAAAAAAAGAAAATAAAAGCCATCATCCTGTCCCATGTCTCACAAACCAGCCTGCATCTCTCACATTTCCATCGTCTTCTCTATTTCTCCTTTTCCATGAACAACCATCGCTGGCACCACCATTTTGGTTGGAGATTGACACCTTTTGAGTTCAAGTTCTCTGATTCGTCGCCACCTTTCCCGTCAGCTCATCGATCGTCGATTCAATGTTTGTAAACCAACCATTAACGAACATATATCTTTGGCGACAACAATGGTTTCAGATATGCTCTCTCTCTCTCTCTCTCTCTCTCTCTCTCTCTCTCTCTCTCCGAAGTCGTTACCCTAAATTCTTACGACGAACGGATCCAATTCTCCATCGTGGCGGTAATAAAACCCTAGTAGTGGTGGCTAGAAAAACTCTAGTTCTACCGATAACTTAAAGATGTTGGTCCTCCAAATCTGCAAAAGAGCATATGGCTTGGTCGGAATATCAGAAGACGAGAATATCTTGAAACCCTTGTTTTGTTTTTTGCTCCAGACAACATATAACTTAAAGAAGATGTTTCTTGGGATGGTGATGCTCCGACAAGCTTTGTGTGTTGAATCATAATTATGTGTTTGGTCTTGTATATAAGATTTCAAATTTTGTATATTAGATCTTCAACAAAATGTATATGTTTGGTCTCATCTGTGTTGAATAATTTCAAGGTTCATTATTGTGTGTACGTTAAATAAGGTTTATGTTTGTACTCGTGTATAAAAGATTTATGGGGATGGGTAATCAGGTTAAGTGTTTGATTATTAAACATAATAATTATATTATTGTAGGTTGAAAACCTAATGTACTCACCAGGTTTTCCAACCTGACCCACTCAAGCTTATTTTTATCACATGTGTTGATATGAAGTTATATTTCACTAGTAGATCACTAGCGTAAATGATTGTAAGTTCTGTTTATGCTTTGATTACGTATTTACTAGGTTTTTCTGGGAACAAATTCTGCAACATTTTTATTAAAAGAGGTACTCTGATTTTTATAAAGCATAAACAAAAATCGGTCGTTTCTGGCCGTAAAAATGGGGATGTCACAGTTGGTATCAGAGCATTAGCTTAAGTGAACTACGGATAAGGAAACTTAGAATGTTAAGTGATGATCGTGAGAAGTGTGTCTAATATATTTTAGATAGTACACCTAAATAGACATAAGCTCTAGCTTAATTAAGGAAGATGCCTAAAATTCTTTTATGTGCTAAATGATTTGTGATGTATTATGCTATCGTTTGATCGGATCTATGGTCTATTGCCGACCAGATCTGGAAAATTTATGTGTTCAGATTTCTAAACGTTTAATTACAGTATTAGAACTTACATGTAACTTTTCGGAGTAATAAGGAGGATTATGCGTCTAAACCTTCTATATCTATATTCTCGTCTCGATGCACTAAACGCATGCTTCTATGAACACAACATCATGGTGAAGACTCGTAGAGAATTGAGTAAATGGAGGAAATGAAAAGGCTTATGATAGTGAATGACACCTATCAGAAGATATCGTAAGAGTGTTATCTTGCCTTTAGAATATGTATGATAAAATAATAGTACATTCAGAGGAGTATAGTACGTCTGAAGTACACCTTCGATTGGCAGGATGATGGAACGATTGGTGTAATTCGTGAAGTTGTCCCATCGTATGGAGTTTCCACCACTAACGGAGTTGAAAAAGAATTGATGATTGAGATACGCATGGAGGAAGTCCTAGTAGAGTCTAGGGAAAATTTTAGGATTATTTGGACACATTTGTATGTGTTAAAATTGTTTTTTTTTTTGTGGTAATAACTTGGAAAACTACGAGAAAATACTTGGGACAGGTATGAGTAGGCCTGAATGGTAGTAGAGGCCTATACTACCGGAAGCACATAACTCACGCTTGGATCAGGAAAAGTCACAAGGTTACAAAGAAGCTAGTAATTGATACCGTTTTATTCAAGTATGTCGTTACTATCGTTTCGGTAATGACTAAGAAGATGATTCCGACCCTAGTGGTCATATCAAATTGAGTCCGACTACACTGAGTATGTTATGTGGTTTAGAGAACCAAGTTCGATGTAGCGTTTGACTTAAGCCAGAAGATTGAAGTGAATCAAAGCGATCAATAGAAGTATCACGCTTGTTGTTAAAGAAGTTGGTAGCTAGAAATGCTACATGTTGAAATGTGATTGTATCACATTAGAACATGAAGGAATGTATAGTCTATTCTGGAATTTGACTCTAAGAGACCTGAGTCTATGCATTGCGACACACGATGAGAGGTCATTAGAACATGACCCATCAGTGTATTGTGGAAATCAAACAACTTATCTTAAGTTTGTTAAGAAAAAGAAGGAGTGTCTGATAAAGATCCATATTGTGACATGACGGTCATGAATTAAAATCTAACATGAGATAGAGAGTGGGTGCACGATCGAGCACCACCTGCAGTCAAGGAGTCCAAGAATTAGATACTCGTTTAAGGAAACAAAGAAAGTTATGATTATTACCTAGGATGAAGAGATAACGTATGGAGTCATTGTACAACACTGTTTCGTTGATGATTCTGGGACGTAATCATCATAAGGGGGAGATATTTGTAACGCCCGTAGATCCGAGCTAGTAAATTTAGAGATAATAGGTGTCGAAAATGACTTTTCAATATAAGATTATGCAGAATAAATAATCTTAACTAAGTTATAGCATACGTCACAATGGTTCCGTACATATAAAGAACGCCAAAATCAGAGTTATAACGAAGAAGTTATGGCCCGTCGAAATTTCGTGACCAAAACCGGCATGACACTGTGGGGCGTAAATAATGAATTTATGATAGAAGAATTTTAGCCTTAGCAATATAAACAAAAGTCATAGTATACGTTAAATCGAGAGCGTGCATAAAAAGAACGCCCAAATCTGACTTCGTATGAGGAAGTTATGATTTTTCTAAGATTTGGCATAGCAGTGGACAGCCCGAAATTTGAATTTTAGATCGAGTGGTTTTTGGCCAGCGCAACCTGAATGAGAATTGAATATCTCATTAATAGGAGCTCAACGATAAAAAGATAGACGAAAACGGAGTCCGTATGTAGAAGATATGAATTTTACGTAGTCATTTAACAATATAATCTTCTCATACTGTTAATTTTAAAATCGGTTAAGAATTAGCTGATGGAGTCAAAATGAAGGTTGTAGATATTATTTTTACCTACGCGTGGATATAAAGAACGTTAAAAACAAAACTCGTATGCGAAAGTTATGAATTTCTGAAAATTAGATGTTTTACCCACTGTGTTCGGCGCCACGTGTCAGCACCATGCAAAGCCTTGGAGCCTACGAAAGTTCACTACGCGAATTGAAGTTTCACAACGCGAATTCACCCTAGACAACCTATAAATAGAGTGCGAGGGCTGCCGAGTTCTACACACCTCCCACTTCTACTTTCTCTCTCTAAACTCTATTTAGCCCCTAAACCCCCTCTAAAGCCTAGGAAAACCACCTAGCACCCAAAGGAAGCCCTGGAGTGTCCGACGGCTCCGAGAAGAAGAGCTTTCAGCTCAGAAACTCTACTTCAGCGAAGCCCAGTTTTGAGAAAAACCCGCTGTAAGTGAGCTACGCCTACCCTATCTTTAGTATAGCTTATGATTAAATATAGTAATGTTATTAGGACCTTATAATAAATATTTGGGCTATTATTATGAGTTATATAAGTGTCATTATAATCAGGGGCGGACGCAGGATTTCATAGTAGGGGTTGCACGGGAAGATTAAGGGTTGCATGATAGTAGAAAAAATAGAAATTTTAAAAAATTTCAAAATTTTTTCCACAGCGGACGGAAAATTTAGGGGTTGCCGGTGCCACACCGGAACCCCCCTAAATCCGCCCCTAGTTATAATATCTTTTTAACTACTCGTGATACGGGGAATCTGGTTTGAAGGGCCGCTTGGGTTGCTGGATTTAGAAGTGCTATATGCTAAAATGATCATGCCCTCCGGCGTTTTTGTATGGCCCTGTCTGTGCATAGTGGTTGAGAAGTATTGTTTTGTGATTATATAATAGTAATAATGCTTAGACTAATAATTAGTCTCGGTGAATATTAGACTAAACTCTAGTGGTAATGATACAAGGTTTCGTCGAGGGAAATCATTTTTAAAAGAAGCGAAGCGCTGTCTGAACCCAGAGTCACCACCTTTATAGGTGAGTGCATAGTTACTTTCATCTTACACATAGATATGAATTATTTAATATAAATTACGTGCTATTTGTGCATCTTATCTGTATACTTGCTATCTATGCTGGATGAACAATTTTATACATGTTTTAAATGATATAAACTGTATATATATTTTATATCTACAAAATATGTTAGGTAAAATATGGGTAGATGAAATATGAGTCAGATGATGAGATGCGAGGTGAAATAGACCATGAGGTAAAGGTGAGAGGTGGACGATGTGAGAAGCCTTTTACCTAAATGCTGGC